TCTTTAATCGGTTACAATCTTCTGATCATTTTCTCAATGACTTTCTATTTAAATTGTTCTTTTAGGATATTTTCCACCTAGTGATTATGCTTTTTAAAAAACAATCTTTTGTCACTCTTGGATGGGAATAGGAGCATTTGGAGATCAGGGGTGGAGGAAGTGATTTCAATATATCCTATATAATGAGGGGGGGAGGGGGGGGGGTTGACCTCTTCTCATGCCTCACTGAATGTTTTAGCGAGGAAGAGCTCATATTCAAAACATTCATGTACAAATGTCTATATGACAGGACTGGTGAGTAAACATGCGAATAATATAATGAAGAATAAGGTGTAACCACATGTGAGGTTCACATATGCATTTCAAATACTAAAAGAGCCCCATGAAATACTGCAAACAAACAGCTTTAGTTTTGCTAGTGGAGAAGTAGCCAACTTCCCTAGGAGAGAAACCATACCTTTTCTTAAATGTGATGCATAGTTAAAATTACGTTTATTTTCCATTTGCTGATCCTTTTTGTAGCTCACTGACTAAAGAAACTGATTCGGGGCAAATTGACATGGGCTCTGCTATTCTGCGCTCAAACAATTTGAGTGTGAACTCTTCAAAGACACAAGCTAGACGCATTAGGGAAGTGCTTTTCAAAGAGTGCCTGATATCCAACATTTCACCATTAAGGCCACAAGTCAACCAGGAGAAAACCTGAGAGCCTGTTGGGAAGGATTTAAGGCAGGTGGTAACCTGTCCAATGGCGGTGCCAGCAGCACCAGCAGGCGGGTGCTCCAGGCGAGAGGGAAGCTGACCAGGAGCATTCTCTGGGCAAAGTGGAATGAAATCCCCCGCAGTTGCTTCAGTGACTTTCTACTCAAAGGCCCTTTTATTGACTTGGCACCATTGTAACAGAGCTATTCCAAAATCTTAATATTATCCCATTTTCTCACTTGTCTTTTATTTTATAGGAATGGCTATAAAACTCAAGCAAAAATATTTATCAGGCTACATTAATCTCTTATCTCTTTTTCATATCCCTATTCTCTACTAACAGCTCTCTGCTCTCCAGGTCCTAAAGAACAATGTTCAATTTGTTTTGAGATAACGGATCACAACAACTTCTCATCCAAAACACCCTAAAAGGTTATACAGTATAGAATCATTACCTATTATCCTAAGCCGTATAACTAGAATGTTCAATAAAAAGGAATCTGTCCGCGAAAGCCAGACTCCAGAAATTCCACAATTTCAAAATGAAACCACAAAGTATACTTTATGGCCCACAGCCATACACAATTTTAATAACAAGCACTACTAAACTAAAATGACTACTTAAACTAAAACAGGAGCTATGTGAAGAGTGGCAAAGTCAAAGTCAACTTTATTATCAATGTGTGTGGTACAAACAGGGGGACCGAAATGCCGTTTCTCAACGTCCCAAAGATTAATAAATATACCTATATATGTATACAGTATATACATACATATACAAAATACAAATAGGATAACATCCAAAAAAAAACATTTTAAATATCTAGGCAATGTGAATAATGCAGACCACAAGGGTGCATACCGTTTTCTTAATTTTATATGAACTTAGTGTGATTATAAGGGAAGTCATTAAATACTTTATGTCCAGGCTTTGGCGACAAAAACAAACCAAATATCTGATCATCTGTTCACAGTTAAGATTAGCACACAAACACCTAAATAACGGGATTTTATTTTTGCTTTAAAATCAGTTAGAACATATATATATATATATATGTTTCTTTTTCGGGACTAACCTAAATGAATCTTAAAGTTAAACATTTTAACTTTTCTAATAAGATTTGACATCAGGTCTTTGGCAAACGGTTCATCATTCAGCACATCTTGTGCCCGTTTGAAATCTCTTTACACAGCCTATAAAAGCTGCAGCTGGAGGAAATTAGGAGGCTGTTTGGATCAATGATGCGTGTTACCTGGTCTCACCTGGCTACAACAAGATTTAGCTGCCGCTGGACCAGTGGCCCGCCAGAGGAAGGTGGCAGGAGAAACAGAAACTGGGTCCATGACAGTGATGGATGTCTGTTCTCTGAGCAACACATGATGAAAGTTAAATCAAGTAAAAATGATTTTGATGTGGACTAATATTACAGAATTCTAAGCATGTTTAGAGTTGTATAAGTTGGAGGTGAAATTCCCCCGACTAGTTTTAAAAAATAAGTTACATTGAACTCAGCAATGCTTATTAGATCAACTTGATGAATCTACAGAATTGTAAAATTACCTAGAAGCCCATTTTTAAACATTTTAGTTTTTCACAAAGTTTTTGACATAATTATTATTAGCTTTTCCCTTGCTAAAAAAAGACAAAGCGAACAAGGTTAATTAGAGTTTTCTGGATGTATCGAGGATACTTTATGGAATGTGAGCATTCATACAACTACTATTCATTATGATTATGATTAATTTAAAGATTTATTTTTCAAATTTCTAGTTTTCTGTGGTCTGAGGTAGGGCTGAACGATTAATCGATTTTTTTTTTTTTCTTGCGTGTCAGTCATCCACACCAATCAGAAGTGCTCCACATGTACCAGCCATTGTTAACCAATCAGAAGTGGCCCTGGCCCATTATAGAAGGTGATAGACAGATTGATCCAATCACCTGCCAAGTATTTTTGAAAGTGCCTGCACTTTCCAAATGGCTTCCAATGGAGCTTTCCTAGAAGGTTTGGTGAAACAAACCATCTGAGTCAGGTTAGTAATGCTCCATCACATGTTTTACATCTATTACAGGGTGAATCTTAAACTGAAGCTTGACTTTAAAGCAACCCAACGGAAGTTTCATGTAAGTTTAGTTCTTTCACTCGTAGCTCGGGCTGCGGGGGTGCTAGAGACGGGAGCATGTTGATACGACCTTCCTAGCCAGAGATATGGCTGCATTTTACAATAAACTTCCGTTGGGTCGCTAAAAAACAAAATCGCAAATCGAATCGCAATTGCAATATCTGTCAGAAAAATCGCAATTAGATTATTTCCCCAAATCATGCAGCCCTAGTCGGAGGGTGAGAAAGCCTGATCTCCTCACCTCATGCCAGTTATGCTATCTGTGTCTCTGAATGAAGACATTTCTAATAAACCGTTATCCCCCTTGTTAAAAAGATGGTGCTTCTCAACGATACCATAACAAATTAACCTGCTGAAACTAATGGCTTCATTCATGTCAATGCTTTACGGCATTAGGCTAAGTAATGCAATTAACAGCTACTGTGGCCCCAGTCTAAAATCCATTAGTCATGCTTATGGTGCCACTATATATTTTGATATTATTATAATTGAATATTACTTCACAATATTTCCATAAGCTATTGGTGAATGACAGGTATGTCAATGCAGTGAGAACATACACACAACATGGGTCAAATAATTGTACAAACATTTGCACAGTTTAAAGTAATTAAGCCATTATCACCAAAGAACAAACAAAACTTCGTATTTAAAATAATCAAATTGTCCTTGTGTCTACAGTTACCTATGATTTTAGATACACTAAGGTAGTATAGCCTATATAGGTTTATTTTCCTGCTTAATGCTGTATTTATTCACCAATAAAAGTGAATAAGCATGAACAAATTGAGCTTCTGTTGTTTTTCTGACTCAATCCCTGCTTACTGCAACTTGTTCTTCTATGTTCACTTACTGTAAAACAACATTAATATGATTTGGGAATTAGGCGGCATATTTCTTGTCTTTAAATGGGAGTGTAAAATCAATGTTGGAGGTTGGTGAAAAAACTATTTCATTATTATTGTGGTCAGAGGTTGCATTTTTTTTGCATGTTTTCTTTCTTATAATTATTACCTTTCCTGCCCTGTTCCTTTTATTCAATTTAGCAAGTTGTCAAGAATCAACTGTTGTTTATTATGTGGAAACAAGAAGCAATTTAAATAATAATAATAATAATAATAATACTAATATCAAGTATTCATCCCAAACAGTAATGGTATGGTTTAGGGATTTCCAATATCTGAAGCAGTTGAGGAGTTAAGCTAACAACAAAGCAATTTGGGTTAAATATAGAAGCCTTATTACTCTTTTCACTCTCCCCTTTTGAGTCACTGCCAATGTGACTGTTGCTTTAGGAGACTGACTTAGAAACTCTCTTTACTTATTGTTGTGACACAAACTGGTCCATTATGCAGCAGTTCGATCAATACTCAAGTGCGATGATGACATAATGTCACTGTTTTGATAACATACATAGAAAATGTGTTTCCCTCTTCTTTTTGGGATAATCAAGTAACCACCACGCTACAGACCATTCCACCCAGATCTTGGTGGAGTCAGCTAAGGGATAAGAGGAGATGTGAGGGGTAATAACCAGTGTTGGGCAAGTTACTTTAAAAAAAGTAACTAGTAATAGATATAGTTACTGCTCTCAAAAAGTAACTAGTTACTTTTATAATTTAGTAACTAATAAAGTAACTAGTAACAAGTTACTTTACTTTAAAAATAATAACAATAAAAATACAAGTTTTTGTGTTGTTCTGTGGCAAAGTAAGAGAAAAGACAACTCCCCATCATTGTAGCAATTATCATTATGAAATGTAGTGGAACAATAAAACACAAAAGATATGTGCTGTGCAGCGCTGTTGCTGCTCTCGCTGATACTTGCATCTCTCATTGTGTGTGTGTGTGTGTGTGTGTGTGTGTGTGTGTGTGTGTGTGTGTGTG